ATTTGTTTACTTATGGTCATGGCTTACAGGACTAAAAAACCTTGTGTTTGTTTACTTATGGTCATGGCTTACAGGACTAGATAACCTGATCTTGTGTTTGTTTACTTAGTCATTGCTTACAGGACTAGATAACCTAATATTGTGTTTGTTTACTTATAGTCATGGCTTACAGTACTAGATAACCTAATCTTGTGTTTGTTTACCTATGGTCATGGCTTACAGTACTAGATAACCGTGAATTTGTTTACTTATGGTCATGGCTTACAGTACTAAATAACCTTGAATTTGTTTACTTATAGTCATGGTTTACAGTACTAGATAACCTAATCTTCTGTTTGTTTACTTATGGTCATGGCTTACAGGACTAGATAACCTAATATTGTGTTTGTTTACTTATGGTCATGGCTTGGTCATGGCTTACAGTACTAGATAACCGTGTTTGTTTACTTATAAGATTAGGTTATCTAGTACTGTAAGCCATGACCATAAGTAAACAAACACAATATTAGGTTACCTAGTCCTGTAAGCCATGACCATAAGTAAACAAACACAAGATTAGGTTATCTAGTCCACTAGATAACCTAATCTTGTGTTTGTTTACTTATGGTCATGGCTTACAGGACTAGATAACCTTATATTGTGTTTGTTTACTTATGGTCATGGCTTACAGAACTAGATAACCTAATTTTGTGTTTGTTTACTTATGGTCATGGCTTACAGGACTAGATAACCTAATATTGTGTTTGTTTACTTATAGTCATGGCTTACAATAACATTGTGCTTGTTTACTTACAGGCTTGGCTTACAGTACTAGATAACCTTGTGCTTGTTTACTTATGGTCATGGCTTACAGTACTAGATAACCTTGTGTTTGTTTACTTATGGTCATGGCTTACAGAACTAGATAACCTTGAATTTGTTTACTTATGGTCATGGCTTACAGTACTATATTACCATGAATATCTTTACTTATGGTCAGGCTTACAGTACTAGATAACCGTGAATTTGTTTACTTATGGTCATGGCTTACAGTACTAGATAACCATGAATTTGTTTACTTATGGTCATGACTTACAGAACTAGATAACCTTGAATTTGTTTACTTATGGTCATGGCTTACAGTTCTAGATAACCGTGAATTTGTTTACTTATGGTCATGGCTTACAGGACTAGATAACCTTGAATTTGTTTACTTATGGTCATGGTTTACAGTACTAGATAACCTTGTGCTTGTTTACTTATGGTCATGGCTTACAGTAACAGATAACCGTGAATTTGTTTACTTATGGTCATGGCTTACAGTACTAGGTAACCTTGTTTTTTTTACTTACAGGTTTGGCCTACATTAATAAATAGCCTAGTGCTTCTTTACTTATAGGCTTGACTTATAGTACTAGATAACATTGTGCTTGTTTACTTACAGGCTTGGCCAACAGTACAAGATAACCTTGTGCTTGTTTACTTACAGGCTTGGTTTATAGTACTAGAGAACATTGTGCTTGCTTACTTACAGGCTTGGCTTATAGTACTAGATAACATTGTGCTTGCTTATTTACAGGCTTGGCTTATAGTACTAGATAATATTGTGCTTGTTTACTTACAGTCTTGCTGTAACCCATGACCATAAGTAAACAAACACAAGGTTATCTAGTCCTGTAAGTCATAACCATAAGC